TATTCAAAGCAAGCGCTGCGTTCGTAGCTATTGGACCTTAATAGCATTTCCGTAGATTTCACGAAAAATCGGACTACGATGGATTCTATGATAGCCTTGNCTTAATAGCATTTTCGTAGATTTCACGAAAAATCGGACTACGATGGATTCTATGATAGCCTTGATTAGTTCGTGCGATTATGACTTATGGATCGATTATGGATGGGAACGGAACCTCAGTTGGGTTGCCGATGGGCAGCGCCACTGAAATGAAAAGGTTTTTTATTATGAATAGCAATAATTAAGTTTCATAAATTTCAAGGTGGTACAATTTAAAAAAAAAAGTTTAAAAAAGAAATAAAGTAGCTCAATCAAAAATTCCCGGCAGCCACAAAAACGCACTTGCCAATATAGCAACTTAGTTGCCAGCTTTCAGTTGCTAGTTGCCATCGTAATACCATTTCAGCCACTGGCCAGCCAACTGAAGTTCGGTCGTCCTCCGTAATCGACCCATAAAATCGGAATCGAATATGCATGCACGTTCTGCTGAACGATAAATATTTTTTAAATGTGTGCTCTGTCCGCGCACGAATTCCAGCCATGTGTGAAATATCGTATGTAAAGCCTCCGTCTGACTTAACGATTGTCTAAGGCATGCCAGAAGATGTTTCATCATATGTTTTCGGCCATCGTCTTCTTCGAGTAAGTTCATCGATACCAAAAACTTTACAACCTATATTTTCCAGCAGCCCTTAGTGTTTTTGCCAATGACATGGTACTATATACTTAATAACCAAATTAAGCCGCAGTTGCATTCACACGTATAATAGCTAGTGTCGGCAAGCTGTGGGAATACCCAGGAGATGGCGTTTGTTCAGCTATCGAAATCATTACACCGACGGCGGTGGGCAGCTCTGCTGGAACATATTTACCACAGCAGTGGTTGCGGGGTTTTGTTCTGCAACAATAGCCTGCAATGATGACATGTCATATAATGTCGACGAACAAAGATATAAAATTTAAAATGACTAACCTTATATCCGGCCGATTTGGGAGACCACCCTTGGTCACGACCAGAACGCATTTACCAAGAGGAAAAACCGCAGGGATTGCAGTAGTTCTTGCAATCACCGTTGATGATGCTGTGCTTGTAATTAATAGTCTGAAAATACAAAAAAATGCATTAATGAAATCTTATACACATCAAATAAATAAATTTCAATAAATTGTTTACCGTTTCACAAACCGAATTACTAAGAAATAGAAACTCACCGCGATGCTATACAGAAATAAAAACCAACAGGGCTGCATTTTCTTGGTAAACAAACCAAGCGCTCAGAGCAAACTGATCCGAAAAATTATTTTGTGAAAAATAATAGTTGAAAAGAGTTTTTACACATGATTATCACATTAACTCATAAGTGCAAATTATTGTGATTATTTTTAGTTGCATATAATTGTATTACCTTAGACTTTTTTTAAATGTTTTCTAATATTCAGTCTTTTGGGTCGCAAAATCAACCATGCGCTCAATTTCTTGTGGGGAAATTTGGTCCCCATAAAGGACTTTCACCACGAAACAGCTACAAAAACAAAAACCTTTTCTACTGGTATACTGTGTTTACTTGTATCGGAACCTCCCTAGCCGCAATACAAATATGTACATACATTTAAAGGGTTAGTAAATGGACTTTAAACATATGATTCACAAGGTAAACGAATTTTATTACCCCATATAATTTAACAGCTTACCGAATCAACACTTCCTTTTGTATATAAACCTCGCCAGTTCACAATTATTTTAGCGCTGCACTAACAACAATCAAGTCTCAAGGTCAGTTTTTGAAAAAATATTTATTTCTCTTAAAATTGTGGTTCACCATGGAAAAACTTCAAGCCGATCCGGCTCGAAGGACCATGTTCGGGATGGTGTGATATGGGGGCCGGAAATTCCTCAGAAGGTGCCGAATCTATAAAGCTCTTTTACGGTTGAACTCACTTGGTTCACAAATAGGATAAACGAAAACTTCACACATTTTCACTAAGCATATACATATGAGTGTGTATATTTATACATATTAGTGCCTGACGGCAACTTATTTATTATATGAAAAAGTTGGAACAAAGTTATAAAAATGTATTCAGGGCTATCACAGAATACATCGTAGCTTCGATTTTCGTGAAATCTACGAAAGTGCTATCACAGAATCCGAGGGGCTACGAACGTAAATTCGAAATTCGTAGAGAGCCTTAATTGAATTCGTTCGTAATGAAGGTTCGTACAGATACTCTACGACGAGTTTATGCTGGCGGAACAAATTTTAAAATCACTGAATTATTGCCGCATTATTGCTAATAATAAATATTTATTGTACTCTAGATTTGTTACAGTTAGATATAATTCCACATATTTGTGTAAACGTAGACGTCAGATACCAATACCATACATTCATACATATTTACAAACATACATTCATCTGCTAGACGCTATGTAATGAATGAATATTTTTTATGAAGCGAAATAATATTCAACAATAATTTATTAGAAAAGAAACCCAATTACTTTAATATCATTAAAATTTATTTAAAAAAATATTTTTCCCTTTAAAAGGATAAAATCTAAACTTGACAAAAAATTTATTAAATAAAAGAAACTAAACTAAAAAAAAGACTCCGCTTCCAGAAGACGACTCGGACTAGAGCTTGGATCTCTCAATTGGCAGTTTAGGGCTTTGCTCGCGACTGCTGGGGCCGCGTGAGCAAAACGGCATACATAAATGTCTATTGTTTCTTTTGAACTATCTGATTTCGAATCAGCATTACAAGCTGGAAGCTACATTTTCGAGTTTACTCGGATTCAGTGATAGCAATTTTTTCATACTCGCAGCAAGCATTCTAATTGGTGGGTTTTCCGCGATGGATTCCGTGATAGCCCTGATTAATTATAAGAGGATCTTACTTGAGTGCTCGGAGTTATCTTCCGAAGTGGCCGAGAGTTAGGTGATCGCAGAAGGCGAAACCCACATACGAGGTGGGTAACAGGACTCAAGCAAAGGGAATTCGAGTAACTGTTCCCGCTTGGATTACAGCGACATCTGCAATTGAAATTCTCTTTATAAAATACTCCTAGGGTTTAGGGAACTACTGTAGACACACATTGGTTTTGTGAACTTGTTGCAGACTTTACTCAGTTAAACTATATATTATGATAAAACAAGGAGCTTATTCCCAGCGATCTATAAATCGAAGATACAAATTATACATCAAACTAAAGCGCTCGATCTGAAACTTTGCACAAACTTTTAAGATTCATTGAACCACATTACATCAGGCAAAGCATTGCTACGTTCTTTTCGATAGGCAGCATCTCAGCGGGACAAAAGAAAATGAATAATTGTTCCATTTATTCTATTTGGTCCCTTGTTTGTTCGTGCGAATGTAGGCAGTGATATAGCGGATGATCTGTAATACAAAACGTTGGTTTTGGCTCTGTACAGCCACCCATATATAAATCTCACATGGTTTATTTTGACGTTTTTCTTTTTCTGAGTCAAATAGGGTCCTATATGTATTATAAATTAATATATCTATGCATAATCGATCTGAAACTTTGTACAGACATTTAAGATTTAAGAATCATTTCATATACTATGTACATACCTCGCAAATATGAAAAGTTTTTAAAGTTTTAAATTGAGGAATTTTATAATGTAAACCCGAATCACACACGCGCATTGTCATTTTCAATATCCAACAACAATAATTTTGAACTATTTCATTTCTTTGTTTTCAACTTTCTATAATCTTAAAATGCTGGAAAATTAAAAAAGCATGGTGTAATTATTCAAACCACTTGAAGGATCGATCAATTTGGTATCCAAAAAATAACCACTGTACGATAGTTAATAAAGAAATGGTTAATATGTTGTCCGAAGAAGAAATGGTGTCGATATCTACTGTCGGTTCTGAATATCCACAAGAGCCCTACTCCTAGGGGTGTTGCTTCTCATGACTTGATACTAAAAGTTGGAGCAGTTGTGATGTTAATCCGCAACCTAAATGCATATGTACATTAGAGTGGTTCATAAAAACACTCTTTTTGGAAATTCATAAACGCTACATCAGAATATTGTTATTTGTTATAAAAAAAGAGACACATATTTTTTTGTTTTGAAAAAAAAGTTTTCTTAGAGCTCGCGCTGGTCGGTTTTTTTATAAAAACGCTGATGTTCTCAATTTTTTTATTTTCTGGACATGTTCAAATGCAGCTAAAAGTGTGGTTTTTACTTATAATTACTCTGGTATTATTGGCGAACATTCCCTTAATTACATACCTGTCTGAAGTAAATTTTTTTAAATTCAAAATGGCGGATCCAATAAGGCGATCAAATAAAAAAAAGTACTAAAATTAAAACGTTGATATTGAACCTTTTAAACATTGTAAAGGGTTAAAACACGTTTCCAGTGGGTTTCTAGGGTTGTTGATTACGAATCTGATTTCAGGTTTTCAAAATTCAAAATGGCGGTTAAGAGTTTCAAACAAATCCAATCAGTTTTTTAAAGCTGGTCGCCATTTTGGATCCACCATTTTGAGTTTTGAAAATCTGACATCAGATTCGTAATCAGCAACCCCAGGAACCCACTGGAGACGTGTTTTAACCCTTGACAATCTTTAAAACGTTCAGGATCAACGTATTAATTTTAGTACGTTTTTTTTTAATTTGATCGCCATATTGGATCCGCCATTTTGAATTTAAAAAAATTGACGTTCGAATGTAGGGAGTGATGCAATACAATGATGTTGCTTTTGGCTCTGTACACACATCCATATATAAATCTCACATGGTTTATTTTGACGTTTTTTTCTAATGAGCCAAATATGGTTCTATATGTATTATAAACATATATATCTATGTATAATCGATCTGAAACTTTTTAAAAACATTTAAGATTTAAGAATAATTTCATATACTATGTACATACATATTTGCGAGGAAAGATTTTTAAAGTTTTACATACAGCAATTTTAAAATGTAAAACTGAATCTCACACACGCTTTCTCATTTTCAATTTCCAACAACAATAATTTAATTTCTTTATTTTCAACTTTCTATAATTTAATTTCTTTATTTTCAACTTTCTATAATTTTAAAATGCTGGAAAATTAAAAAAAAATCTTGGCGGACGAACTGAGGGAACGGTAAAGTATTTTCAACTTTCGATAAATATGCGCTTCAGAGAATCTGATTATTTCAGTTTTCTCTTGCGGGTTAGAGAAGGTCGAGAACTCTCGCCAGACGCAAAAATTAAGACAAGTGCCACAAGAGATTATTTTGCGTTATTTAGCCGATTGGGTATTTGAATCTCAGCCTGGTGTAATTAATCAAAACCACTTGAAGATACGATCAATTTGGTGTCCAAAAAATAACCGCTGTACGATATTTAATAAAGAAATGGTTAATATGTTATGCGTCGATATCTACTGCCGTTTCTGAATATCCANATTTAGCCGATTGGGTATTTGAATCTCAGCCTGGTGTAATTAATCAAAACCACTTGAAGATACGATCAATTTGGTGTCCAAAAAATATCCGCTGTACGATATTTAATAAAGAAATGGTTAATATGTTATGCGTCGATATCTACTGTCGTTTCTGAATATCCACAAGAGCAATTATAGGAGTAGGGGAGCTGCTCCTCATGACTTGATACTAAAAGTTGGAGCAGTTTTGATGTTAATCCGCAACCTAAATGCATATCGAGGGCTTATATTCAATACCCTCTATCTACAATTTTGATGAAAATGAGTTTTGGATGGTAACGTGGGCTCTTATTTATCCTTCAGCCATGACAATAATGCCAAACTTAAAATTTTGCTTTTATGGTATTATATTCTCATTTTGAAAAATCCACTATCTGTAATAACATTTTGTTACAAAAGCAAAATCCTCTATCTACACAATTTTGCTGGAAAATCGTTTTCATTACCATTTTTTGTGGCAGGTCAAATAAAGACTGGGTAAGTTACATGTGCCGATGCATGTATGTATATGTTCCGGTAAAATCCGATCTTAGGTCAAACTAGTTTTGCCCAGGCTAAACTTGTTCTACCTAATGCGATGTCCAACCGAAACCAAATCTTGTGGACTGCGTAGCTTCAGTTGGACTGATGATGAGAGTTACAAAAATAGTTTATTCTAAGATCGGGTTTGGCCGGTAGCTTACAGGTATATACATGTCCGCTCATTTACTACAATAATGTCATAACTCAAAAAATCAAAACTCGAGAAAGACGGCTTTAAAGTTTTGAATTTACATATACGCCGATACTAAAAATGAATACATATTTTATTCTAGTGAGATTCTGGTAAAGGCCTGTATGCAGCTCTCAAGAAAAGCAAAAACTCCATATAAAATGACGTACAAGAAATGGCTAAGAAATTTTCTTGAGTCAAATTTCCTTAAGGCAGTACGCAGTTCTTAAGAAATTTACTACGCTTTCTACTACGGT